CCAGGGCTTTTGTCTCGTATAATGTCCAATCCAGTAGGAGACCAATGAAAGCCGATTTACACATTCAGGATTCACTATTTAGCTTACATTTGTTTAGAGCAGCGGTTCTCAACCTGTGGGTCGCGACCCCTTTGGGTTGAAACAACCCTTTCACAGGGGTCGCCTAAGACCACCGCAAAACACATATATAATTACATATTGTTTTTGTGATTAATCACTATGCTTTAATTATGTTCAATTTGTAACAATGAAATTGGGGGTCATCACAACATGAGGAACTGTATTAAAGGGTCGCGGCATTAGGAAGGTTGAGAACCACTGGTTTAGAGTGTAGTGTTCAAGTTTCCAGGGTTAGGGAGATGAGCCCCTCCATTGCAGCTGTCACAGATACTCTTTGTGTTGGGATGTAGATAAGCACAGCCAGTGAGAATGCAAATCCATCGTTCCTATTAAAAAGAAACAACTAAAAGTTTCATCAGTGAAAGATAATAGTACCTTTTATTTTATACTAGAGGCCCGATGCACGAAATTCGTGCAAGGGGCTCAGCCCTCGCAACCTCAGCCAGCCCTCGCAGCCCCTCACAGCCTCGGCCAGCCCTCACAGCCCTTCGCAGCCCAGAAGGTCATTCGGCTGTTTGGTCTAATTAGCATATTAGCTCTTTATTATATAGGACTAGAGGCCCGATGCATGAAATTCGTGCATGGGGGGAAGGGGGTGGTCCCTCAGCCCCACATGCGTCCTCTCGCAATCCGGGACCCCTCAGGGGATGTTGGGCCTAAATTGGCAATCGGACATCCCTCTTGCAATCTGGGACGCTGCATGCACCAGTGACCATACTTTTCATACAGGTGAAAGGCATCTTGCTGTTGTATGGGCAGCTACATTTTTTTGCCCTGATTATAAAAAGTAGTGCATAACATGATCCTTCTGAGGCAGTAGTACCATTTTCCCCATCCTATGGGTGGAAAAACTGAAGCAGAGAGAAGTTAAGTAATTGTCTTTGTCACACAGTTATAAGTGTCAGAATCAGGGCTGACCACAAAACGTGCAAGCCACAGTCCATGCATGTCATCGCTGCATCATCCTGTTTTTTTTCAATGTTAGAGTAGCCTTGCCAGGTTTTAATTTTCAAATCTAAGACTGTTCCCAATATATAAGGTAGGGTCCCTAGGCCTGGCTGGCGGTCAGGGCCAATCTGTGTGGCGACCAGCGGGCAGGGAGATGTGGGGGGAGGGGCCACTGGCACCTGCCTTGGCTGGGGGCCTGGTAGCGCCTGCTGGCCGGCCCCACCCCCCTTAGCACTGCCGCTGGTTGCCTTGCTCTGTGGAGGCGACCGGCAGGGCGCTCGCTGGACAGCCCGCCCCACCGCCAGTCACCTCCCGCTCGGGGGACAGACGCTCAACACAGGAGGTGCCCCGTTCCACCGTTCGGTCGATTTGCATATTAGGATTTTATTATATAGGATAGGATAGTTTTTGTGTGTACTCTTTAATGCTGTTTTGGAGTGAAGGTACTATAACTTAAGTTTAGCAATATTATGGAAATATCCTAGATAATTAATTTTAAATGTGTTTCTAGAATAATTTAATGATTCATAAAGCAAAAAAAGTGTTTATATTTTTTCTGTGATTTTAGTGGTAGTAGGATTGGAAGAGCAAAGCAGTCTGGATACATGTATTCATTCAGAATTCCATTATATTGACAAATCAAAGAGGCAGGTATTCTGAGAGCTCTGAGTTATAATCCCATAGGAATGAGATGGTCCTGGAAGGACTTGATGGCTGCATGATTCCTGATGTTCTTTTTTGTGTAGTTGGTGATCCCATTAACTACTCAAGATGACTTGGACAAAGCTGTGGAGCTGCTGGATCGCAGTGTTCATATGAAGAGCCTCAAGATATTACTTGTGGTAAATGGAAGTACACAGGTATGAGTCGGGATTGTTTGTCAGTAAGGACTATAGGATTTGTGCCTGTGAATTAATATATGAAACATAATTACAGTCTATAATTATTGATATATTTTCAATATGATTAAATGAAAACATACACATTGTAACTGCTATCATTTCATGTCTTTACTCCTCAAAACTCTATAGCCAATATTACAAGTGTAATATATTGTACATATGAAACTAGCAGAAACTGAGAACTTGGGAAGAATTATGTTAAAATGTTAAAGAGTAGATTTGATAAGACCCACAAACAATATAGAATATCTAGGATTCTGTTTAAGCCTTAAAGGGGAAGAATCGCATTAATCATCCTTTTTCCTCTGTAGGCTACTAATGTAGAACCATTGCCATCACTAGATGATTTGGATAACACAGTATTTGAAGCAGAGAGGAAAAAACGGCTTTCTGTAATAGGTAAGAGAGCTAGTATCCGAATCGTGAAATGGGTGATTTCTCAGTTTTTTCCTCTTACCTTTTATATTACCTAAACATAACCCTGATAAATAGCAGGCTATCTCTAACTCTCTGTAATTTATCTAAGTTAACTATGTTCTAGTATCTGATATTTCTTGAAAAATTATGTCAAGTGTTACAGGATTAGCAGTCTCCCATTTACACATTCTCATTCTTTATATACCCCCAGGGTATTTTAATGTTGAACAAATTCAAATTACTCAAAGAAATTTTAACTATATAAATAAACTGGAGGGAAAAATTAAAAGAAGTATTTTCATATATTAAAATTAATAGATGGCCCATCCAGAGGGGCTCACTTGGTTGAGAATCGTCCCTGCACTTGAACGGTTGCTGGTTCAATTCCCTGTCAGGGCACATTTCTGGGTTGTGGGTTTGGTCCCCAATCGGGGAGCATGCGGAAGGCAACTGATCAATGTTTCTCTCTCACTTTGATCTTTCTCTTTTCTCTCTCTCCCTCTCTCTCTCTCTCTCTCTCTCTCTCTCTCTCTCTCTCTCTTCCCTTCCCTTCCCTTCCCTTCCCTTCCCTTTCCCTTCCCTTCCCTTTCCCTCTTTCTCGTCCTCATCCTTGTCCTCGTCCTCGTCCTCTACTTCTCCTCCCTCCCTCCCTCCCTTCTCTAAAAGCATGACCTTGTGTGAGGATTAAAAAATAAAATTAATGGATGGACTACGTTCATAAGCCTTTCTCTGAGTTTTAGTTAATGTCAAGAATGTTATCAAAATAAAGAGTTTCTAGATTATGCTTTATTATTACTTTACTGGAGGCCCAATGCATGAAATTTGTGCAAGGGGCTTGGCCCTTGCAGCCCCGGCTGCCTCGGCTTCCTCTGGAGGGTCGTTCTGCTGTTTGGTCTAATTAGCATATTAGCTCTTTATTATATAGGAGTAGTATTCAGTTTTTATTTCTCAGTAATGATATACTGTTACAATTAAACTGTGGTGCAAAGAGAAATGGATGTTGTGTGCCGTGTTTTACAGGAGGCCTGTTAGCGGGGCATGGGGTGGGCAGAGGTGCTCAGAGGCCCCAGTCTTCTCTTTGTGTGGAACAGTGATAAGCTACGTTTTTATATTGTAGGAACATTACATTGCTCAGAAACCACTGGTGTAAATGTGTTTAGCAGATTGGGCAGTGACTGGTCATTAAAGATAGCACGAAAACATATTTGAGCGAAGGTTTTGAAGGGAAGAAGTAGAAGAGGAGGAAAAACAGATGAATATGGAGGAAGCAGGAGAGTATGACAAAATAAGAGATGTGATTGGGAATCTAAGACTGGTAACAGAAGACATTTGTTAATAACGAGAGAAGAGATTAAATTAGCATGTGAATCACCAAAAATAGCGGTTATTTATCTTCTGTTTTGGTCCTTCTGAGTATCATCTTACATAAATTCTACTGTTCAGAAATGCTGAAAATGTGAGCAACAAAGAAAATATACAAGTAAAATTAAAATTGTTCGTCTTCATTTGGCTATATTTTTATATAATTTAAAAGTCTGTTGAAAGAACATTAGGGATACCTGCATTTCACTTCCATTTCTCTGATTAATCTGAGATTGGTAACTTTGTCCACTTTAAATTATGGGATTGTTATAGCAGTAAATTGAGAGAGCACCTTTCAAGTACATTTTGCTTTTCAAACTAGGAAGCATGACTATTAGTAATTATACATTTCTTTCTTTATTCCCGTTCCTTATCACATTTTAGTACCTATCATTTTAAAGTAAAATATTCCCAATTTATTTTTATTTATAATTATTTTTTAATTGATTTTAGGGGGAGAGAGAAATACTGATGTGAGAGAAGCATTAATCGGTTGCCTCCTGTACGCACCCTGACCAGGGATCGAACCCACAACCTGGGCATGTGTCCTGACCAGGATTGAACCTGCTATCTTTTGATGTACAGGATGAAGCTCCAACCAGCTGAGCTGTGCCAGCCAGGGCAAACATTGCCAATTTATTTTAGTTGCATTAGACAGAACAAGCTAAATGCATTAGTTAATTTGACATTTTCAATTCATTTTTAATTAAAATTGTACTGAATGTCTCACTGTTGTTCTTGTAATAAACATTCTTGTTTGATTTCATTGCTAGATAAGAAATTGTAAATTACAAATTAAAAAATTACTGGTCTTCCATTTGCTACTTCTTTAAACTCAGAATGGCTTTGATAGATATGATCATTATCTTCTTTCCTTATTTACTAACAATTATTCTCTTTAATTATTTTCATAAAAGCTAGCTAGAGGAAAAACTTCCTTTGGGATGGAATTCTATACTGGTGCGGAGGTCTTGACCACGATTGCATTGGCACACCCATTACTAACAAAAGTTAAGAAAAATGGGTTATTAAGTAAGGAGATGAAGCCACTTTTACAGTCTTTTTTTCTTCCCCGTCTCCTTTTAGTAACGAGTATATTGGTCTTCTTCTATAATCAAGGGCATATGGAAGGCATAAGAACATTAGGGGCAATGAGATCATAGTGGTTACAAAGCCTAAGTCAGCCTCTGGCTTAGAGGTGAGACCTACTCATTTTAGAGTCCAGTTTAGAAAATTATGTCTTTTGTGCACATCTCTTGGTAATCATTTCACACTCTTTTCCCGGGTCTCATCACCAACAAATACTGACATATACTCACAATGACCCCTTTACGTAAGGTAAAACCTATTTTGTTTTTAAATCTGACCAGAGCTTTTAATACTCATATAACTTCCCCATATGTTTTTTTAAAGTTTAAGTTCAAAAAATTAGGAGCAGAGAGAAACTGTGTTAATAAACATGATATTGTTTCTGTACATCCAGGTAAGAATAAAGTGGATTATTGTCTAATAAGAAATTAAGTGATTAATTAGATAAACTATATTAGATTCTCCAGTTTTCTAAATTATAAAGAAATGTACATTTCAGGAACATGGCTTGCCACAAAAACAACAGCCTAATTTTAAGTCCCCAATAATAAAATTCAGGACTCCAAATTGAAAACACTCTAATACAAACTAAATGGTTAAGAAGTCATCTCACTTTTGGTTTCTAAAGATTAGAGAGAGGGAATGGAAGGAAAACTGTGGAGCCAAATGTGCAGGCATATGCTCATTATGAATAATTTTATAGTCACAGTACTCTTGCAGAGAAGGGATTTAGTCCCATGTTTGCCAGTGAGGAACAGGTTTCTGGGGATTGGGTCACTTTCCCAAAGACACAGAGCTGACAAATAGCTATAACTGGGATTTAAACTGTTGTAGAAGACCGGAGAAAAACCAAGCAATGCTTAGAGAAATGGAGTTACACAGCTTTCTTACGCCGGCAGACTCAGAGGAGGTTGCCTCTCACATTCTGAGCAAACCAATATGGTGGAAGCCCTTCTTTTATCCCCTTTTGGTGTCTTTGTCCCCCAAATATGGATTATACGTCCGGACCTTTCGTGAGCTTTGCAAAAAGCCCCAGGTGTTGGGGGTCTTGAGACCATACCTAAGGGCCTGGCCTGGCGCCAGCGCTGATAATCCCCCTCTGGGGGCTGTGTGCTGTTCATGGTTTATGGCCTCAGGTCTTGCAAGACCAGATTCTGGGAAAGGGGCAGTGACTTAATTATAGGTTATCAAGAATGTACATTAGGTTACTGGCACAAGTTCAGAGTGCTATCCCCCCCAAAAAAATATTTTCCCCATCAAAACGAGGTCTGACTCTGAAGCCATGTTCTCTCCACTACATCAGGATGCCTTCTGTGCATTACGCGGGGGAGCACCTGGGCACAAGTGGCCTCTGGGAGTTTGGGAGCAGTGGCACTCATCTAGAAAGCTTTCTTGTATTAGCAACCCCACAGTGCTTCGTCAGCAGCCAGAAGAATGCACCACCTAATATGTGTGAATGAATATTACAGTGAGGCAATAATTATAGTAGGGTGGGAGTTAGAAAGGTATAAAAATATTTGAAGTTTTACAGACAGGAATGTTTTGATAAGCTTTAATAAAAACTGGGTTTCAGTTGCTAACATTATTGCTAATATAGACCAGAAGTTCTATGTATATTTAATTAAAACAAAAATTGATTCCATGCTGATCTTTATAAAATCCTATAATTTTCTTGTTTGAGGTTCCACTAGTAGAGATCAAAGCTCCCCTCCCCCAGGATACATTCCAGATGAACTGCATCAGGTTGCCAGGAACGGGTCCTTCACCAGCATCCACAGTGAAGGGGAGTTCATTCCAGAGAGCATGGACCAAGTAAGGAGTTGGATGTCGTTTCTTATTTTATTAAAGGGATATTGCCTAGGTCAGTGTGGTTTGGCAGGTGTGTGTGTGTGTGTGTGTATGTATTACACCTCTTAATGCCATATCTTCCTTAAGTGAACAAAATGGTAAAAAGTGTAGGAAAATGCCTAATTTCCCTACACTATGTGTGCCTGTGTGCATTCATGCATAAAGAAAGTTACAATAAGGTGGATTATTTTATATTGCCCATCCATAAATAAATGATTGCAGTATTTGTAATCCTGGGGTTAATATTCAGATTTTTAAATTAATATTTAAAAGATATAGTCAAAACGACAAACATTTAACTTTGTGAAGGTGAGGTTTATCAACTTTCTAAAACATTTTTAAATGTTTCTAAATGCTACCGGGCTGCTGTAGCTCAGTTGATCATCAGCCTATGAACCAGGAGGTCATGGTTTGATTCCTGGTCAGGGTACATGCCTAGGTTTCTGTCTTGATCCCTGGAAAGGGGTGTGTAGGAGGCAGCCAATCGATGATTCTCTCTCATTATTGATATTTCTCTCCCTTTCCTTCTCTGAAATCAGTAAAAATATATCTTTTTAAAAAGCACATGTAAAAAAAAAAGTTACTAAGTGCTCACTCCAGCAGTACGTACCTATAAATGAACCATACAGAAAAGATTAGCATGTCCCCTGCTCAAGGATGACACCCAAACTCGTGGGGCGTTCCATATTTTTGTGGAATCTAATGAACAAAATAGAAAAAATGTTACGAAAAGTTGTGTAGTACTGAAATATTTCTGTGGAGTTCCTGCAGTTTCTGTAAGTTACATTGGCTGCTTCTATTGCAGTTTCATTTTCTAATAATGCAGCACTCATGGTGTTTAGTCTCATTTGGGTGGGGCCTTTGTTCGGTTTACAGTAAGAAAAATTATGTGAAATCTTTTAGCTTTTCATTATTTAGTCCATAGAGAAACAACATTTTTCTCTTAGGATGTTTTGAATTTGTAGCCTACCTATAAGGGACAACTACATTTTAAACATTTAAAAATGAGTAGCTCTGAGGGTGACTGCTATTGGGTAGGTTTCTTTTTTAGGTACTGACGGTGTTCTGAGATTGTCAGGAGGTCTCACAACTTTCAGTATACTTGCTAAAAACCATTAAATTGTACACTTGAAATGAGTGAATTTTATGTTACATGACTTATATCTCAATAAAGCTGTTTCTTAAAAAACAGTAACTTCTGGTTATTTCACATCAAATGGTGGAACTCTATTTTTCTAGATGCTGGACCCATTGTTTTTAAGCAGCCCTGAAAATTCTGGCTCAGGAAGTTGTCCATCACTTGATAGTCCTTTGGATGGGTAATGTTGATTGTATTTTTTTTTTTAACATATGTGGGTAAATATGCATATATATACATATACAGTATGTTGAGTTATCAATGCTTTTGTGCTACATTCAGAGGAAGGTAATTGATACTGTCTATACATACTTATGGCAAATTAATTTTTGTATAGTGTAGACAAATCCCCTAACCTCATGGGACTCAGTATCATTATTCGTTAAAACTGACACCTTATTATAATATTTTGAGTATTCCTGCTTGCCAAGATAGTGTTTTGAAGTTAAATGCAAACTTAGAATTTATGTACGTTTACTTTTAAAACTGTATTGGCAAAACTGCTATCAAATTTTGTATTAATGTTTTAGAGATTTTGTGAGTTTTGTTTCACCTGTTTAGAATTATGTTTGTTCTGGCACCAAATTATAAATAACTTAACAGTCTTGGTAGTTGTGGCCCAGTATGTTGATTGTGATGTAAAATTGAAATCCTATTGTTTTGTAAAATAGCTGTTCAAGAATATAAGGTGGATCAAGTGAATTTTTTGTTACAAGTGCTTCCTCTCTCCTGGTCTCAATTAGGACACACAGAGTCAGTGTCTTTATTAAAATCTTTATTGTAAAAATACAACTAATGTTGTAAGGGAATAGACATTTAATTTTCTGTTACCTGTGTACATGAAGCCTTTGTCTTTGCTTGCATCTACATCAAGACAGCCATTTAAAACATTTAAGAAATTTAGGGAAATAGTAATGTAAAATATATATACTTGATAAGTTAGAAATTACTTCCTTTTTTTTAATGAGGTGTCTATGGCGTGGTTTATTTTTTGGGGTTGTTTTTTTTTAATTGATTTTTTACAGAGAGGAAGGGAGAGGGATAGAGAGTTAGAAACATCGATGAGAGAGAAACATCAATCAGCTGCCTACTGCACACTTCCTACTGGGGATGTGCCCGCAACCAAGGTACATGCCCTTGACTGGAATCGAACCTGGGACCCTTCAGTCCACAGGCCGCCGCTCTATCCACTGAGCCAAACTGGTTAGGGCATATTACCTCTTTTTTTATAGATGTGGAAACAGTCTCAGAAAGGTGATTCCAAGGTTACAACAGCTAGTGAAGTGACAGAGCGAGGATAAAGCACAGGCATCCCCGAGCACCTGTGATTCCTAAGCACATCATCTGATCACTGAACTCCATGGGTTCATCTTTAAAGCCACACTTCCTGTCTGCATGGACCAAATAAGAGTTTAAGGAAAAGTTTCTCTTTTTTGAGTTATGTTAACATTTCAGAATGAGCTTCTTTATATGTACACTAGGGGCCCAGTGCATGAATTTGTGCACCTTGAAAGGAACTGTGGGCCGTGAGGCTGCGGTGGGCACAGGGGCAGGTCTCGGCCCACCCTCCACGCCCCTATCTGGCCCCTCCTGCCGTGGCCCCCGGTCCCCTATCTCCCAGCAATCCCGCTCCCGCCACCGCTGTTCCCATGCGCTGATGGCGCCAGCCCCGCTTGCACCCGCTGATGGTGTGGAGCGATTAGGGCCAACACCAGCAGTGGGTGTGAGTAGCGGCTGCTGCCCCGTTTGCTCCTCAGGAGCAGAGGGAGGTGAAGAAGCACTGAGGGGCGATCGGGACTGGGAGCCACCACTCACACCCGCTGACGGCGCCAAGCAATTTGGACCGGCGCCAGTCACCGGCAGCGGATGCGAGTGGTGGCTCCAGCACTGGCAGCAGGTGCAAGTGGGGCTGAGGCTGGCGCCAGCAGCAGGTGTGAGCGCCGGGTGGGACTGCGGCGCGTGGGAGCAAAGAATTTTCAGGTATCACCAGAGGCTCGCCCCGATGACAGCGACTGGCGCCCTGCCTTGGTCTGGCGCCCCTGCTTACCTGCTCCACCATCCTGCCTGCTGCTGGTGCCCGCCATGTTCCATGCGTGCCCCCTGGTGGTCAGCACACGTCATAGCGACTGGTTGTTCGGTTGTTCCGCCATTTGGTCTATTTGCATATTCAGGTTTTATATATATAGATATGATCTCCACACATACATACAGATATTGATATTGCATACAGTTTTTTTAATGTTTTATTTACATTCTCTCAATTTAATGTGACATTTTCTACTTTTAGAGACAGCTATCCAAAATCACGAATGCCTAGGGCACAGAGCTACCCAGATAATCATCAGGAATTTTCAGGTTAGATTATCCACATTCTAAATGTTTAATGTTTATGCTATTAAGTAATGGTTTAGCGGGAAAGGTGAGGGGAATTTTTTAAATAATCAAAACATGTAAATATGTTTTTCATTATTTGAAAGAAGTACTTGGCTTTCTTAATAACATAAGTTTCTTATGTGTCTCAATAGACTACGATAACCCTATCTTTGAGAAATTTGGAAAAGGAGGAACCTATCCAAGGAGGTATCATGTTTCATATCACCATCAAGACTATAATGATGGTACGTTGCTGGCATTCAGATAAGAACAGTTTGTGAAAATTCTCAAAAATAATAAAAATAAAAATTTCATATTTAAGTAATACTATTATAAATAAACTTGTTTCTCAATCATTTAGCTTTCTGCCTAAAAATTTTTTAAATTGGGTCATAACTAAAATTATAATACCATCTTAGTTTTATGCCAACTTACCTCATAGTATTTATCTTTCCCTTAGAAGGAAGGGAATAATTAAAAATATTATTCAGAAAGTTACTCCTTCATAATATTCATACTTGCATGGCCCTTTTAAGGGAAAAAAATACTGCTATCTTTAACTTTCCAATTTTTTTTTTATATTTTAAATCGTGATTAGAAATGAGACTAAATTATATTTTTTCTACTTTTTACCCCAAAATGAGAGTTCTATGATTTTTATGAATGTCTGTATATATGTGTTAACATAAGAGATTATTTGAATTTGTATTCAGATCTTGTTTGTTTTTCTCCTACTTTTCATTTCTGCTTTCACCTTTTTTCCTTGTATTTTTGTTACTGACTTTATGATTTACTGTTAACAAGGATTTTTCCTTGAACTCTTTAAAAAATACTAACTTTAGGTTTAAAACATATAATTAAATAATCATTGCTATTTCAGTTTCTTAGCCTAGTCATGAGACAAATTTCTGTTCCTTACATTACAAATTTTAAAAACATTCAATTACAACATATTAATAAAAGTTTTAAGGTGATTATATTTTTGTTTTGTAGGTCGTAAAACTTTTCCAAGAGCTAGAAGGACCCAGGGGACCAGCTTCCGGTCTCCTGTGAATTTCAGTCCTACTGACCACTCCTTAAGCACTAGTAGTGGAAGCAGTATCTTTACCCCAGAGTATGATGATAGTCGAATAAGAAGAAGGGGAAGTGACATAGATAATCCTACTTTAACTGTAATGGACATCAGCCCACCTAGCCGCTGTAAGTAATAGTCATTGGCATAGTGAAATGTATAATAGAACCTTTGCAGAATTTTATAGTATTAAAAGGAATAAATATCAAGCCAGTCCTCAAGAGTGAGACCAACTTCTCAACAAAGTTGTATTTCTAAAGGTGATTGGAATGGCAGGTAAAGCATGTTATTACTGCTGAATTACTTTAGATGATTCTGTCCTCTTTCATTGGGAGAAGTGTCATCAATTAGTCATCCGTTCATTCATTTCACATTTCTGTGTTGAGTTCCTGCACTGAGATTTCAAATACACCCTCTCAGATATAGCCTAATAAGGAGAATGATATCTGGAGCAGTAATTATAGTGTAACATTTAGTCTAGATCAGCCGTGGGCAAACTACGGCCCGCGGGCCGGATCCGGCCTGTTTGAAATGAATAAAACTAAAAAAAAAAAAGACCATACCCTTTTATGTAATGATGTTTACTTTGAATTTATATTAGTTCACACAAACACTCCATCCATGCTTTTGTTCCGGCCCTCCGGTCCAGTTTAAGAACCCATTGTGGCCCTCGAGTCAAAAAGTTTGCCCACCCCTGGTCTAGATCTTACGTGTGAGTAAGAATTCACCAGTAAGGAGGTGACATGTGCAGAGGCCATGGCATATTCTGAAGGTGTGGAAGAGTTTGTTTTTGGCTGAAGTGGAGGATATCTTGCTTGGAAGAGTAGAAATAGGACTAGAATGGTAACTCAGGCCAGATTGTGAAGTATCTGAACTTTATCATGTAATCGGTGCATACAAAGATGCACGCTTCAAAGATTGCAGTTAATATTGCATTCCTCTGAATTCTCCCTTTTGTGCTGGTGTCATCATGTTTTACTTTTACATCTATGCCCTCACACTGCATTTGCCTTAGACGGCTGTATTTTAAAGGATTAAAAAATAAGAGAAAAAAAGCCTTTTATATATACCTTCAGTTTATTTATGTAGATCTTTATGTAGATCCAAGATTCTGTCAGGTATTAAATTTCTTCTGCTTGAATAATTACTTTAACCTTTCTTCTAATACAAGTCTGCTGGTAATAAGTTCTTTCAGCTTTTGTTTTTTTGAAAAAGGTCTTTGTTTCTCCTTTCTTTTTGAAAGATTTTATTTTCTGGGTGTAGAATTCTAAGCAGGTTTTTTTCCCTTTCAGCACTTTAAAAATATTTCTCCCTAGTTTTTTGGCTTTTATATTTTCTGAGGAGAAGTGTTCTGTAGTTTGTGTCTTTGTTCCTTTGCCTGTAGTTTGCTTTTTTCCCTCGGGCTGTTTTCAAGATTTTCTTGTGTTAGAATTAGAGTAAGGCTCTTTCCAGCTTTCTATATCATAGGCAGATGGAAAACTGACTATAAATATTGCTGCAGTAAAGATCATAAGTAGTTTATCTTACAAGCAGTGGCATCTTAGATTGAGTGAAATAATACTATTACATGTATAACCAAGAAAGAAAATAATCTCATTGCATTGGAAAAAATGAGTTATGGGATTATGAACCTTGTTTGGGTTTAGAATTCTTAGAAAATTGACTGAAGAGGCAGTTTTTCAAAGCTGGTGATCTTGCACTGGCCTGTGTGGTTCCGTTGAGTGTTGTTCTGTGCACTGAAAGGTCGTTGATTCAATTCCCGGTCAAGACACATGCCCAGGTAGGGGTGTGCAGGAGGTGGCCAATCGACATTTCTCTCTCTCTCTAAAAATCAATAAAGAAAATGTTTAAAAAACCCAAACCATGATGATCATTATGAACTTGGATGACCATGATTTTTCCTCACATCCAAGCATATTCAATCAAGAATGTTACTAATGCAGCATACTCATTTAGTCCTTAACCATTTTTGTGCAATCTAGATATTCCATTTTAAGAAAGTGTTCTTTTTTAGCACCTCGTGCTCCAATAAACTGGAGATTGGGCAAACTGCTTGGCCAGGGAGCCTTTGGCAGGGTCTACCTCTGTTATGATGTCGATACAGGAAGAGAGTTGGCTGTTAAGCAAGTTCAGTTTGACCCCGAGAGACCTGAGACCAGCAAGGTAAGACTCGCTGCACACAGAAAACACGTGTTTTTAATAAAATAAATGTAACACATGATAGAATGTTTATTTTTCCTAACACAAATTATTTGCAAAATCAATAATTAGATATGTTTATCTACTTTGTACTGTGGATTTTTCTCTTTTAATGCTCAGTTACATTTTGATTTAGTGTTGCTTTAGCATACCTTCAAGGACAGTTATTATTTACAGACTTAAAAATGTTTATTCCTTAGGAAGTAAAAATTTCAGAATTAAATCACCTTGATGGTCAATGAAATTCTAATTTTTTACTTTTACTAACAATGCTATATAGATTTAACAATGAGTTCTGTCTTTCAGGAAGTAAATGCACTTGAGTGTGAAATTCAGTTGTTGAAAAATTTACTGCATGAACGAATCGTTCAATATTATGGCTGTTTGAGGGATCTCCAGGAAAAAAAACTTTCCATATTTATGGAATATATGCCAGGGGTAAGTTAGTATATCCTTTGAAAATAGCATACTTTCGGCCAGCGTTGCTCAGTGGTTGAGCATTGACCCATGACCAGGACATCATGGTTGGATTCCTGATCAGGGCATGTGCCCGGATTGTGGACTCGATCCCCAGTAGGGGGCTTGCAGGAGGTAGCTGATCAATGATTATTCTTATCATTGATGTTTTTGTCTCTCTCTCCCTTTCCCTTCCTCCCTCTGAAATCAATAAAAACATATGAAAAAAATAGACATTTTATTTAAAGATTTAGTTGAGGAAGGAAAAATAATAAAACTTTGATTTATAAAATGTTATACCAGTTAATGAAATTTTGGAAGAGTTTTAAATTAGTAAAATAATTTTATTTTCTTTATTTTTTTAATTTAAATTGTTTATTGTTTAAAGTATTACATATGTCTCCTTTTTCCTCCATTGACCTCTCCTCGGCTGCTCCCACCCCCAGCACATGCCCTCACCCCCCTATTGTCTATGTCCATTGGTTATGCTTATATGAATGCATACAAGTCCTTTGGTTGGTCTCTTACCCCCACCACCACCCCTGCCTTCCCTCTGAGGTTTGACAGTCTGATCGATTCTTCTCTGTCTCTGGATCTATTTTTGTTCATCAGCTTACGTTGTTCATTATATTCCACAAATGAGTGAGATCCTATTTATCTTTCTCTGACTGGCTTATTTCGCTTAGCATAATGCTCTCCAATTTTATTTTCTATCTTCTTCATCTATCTTTGTATTTTTAACTCATTTTAAAAATTCTAATATATACTAAAATAGGTTACAAGCATCATAGTCCATACTGAGATTTCTCTAAGAGCCTTAAAAATATTCATAATAGCTGGTTTGTCCAAACCAGGATCCAGTTCAGGACCACATAGTACATTTATTTTTAATAAGTTTTTATTGATTTCAGAGAGGAAGGAAGAGGGAGAGAGATAGAGAAGCATCAATAATGAGAGAGAATCATTGATTGGCTGCCTCCTACACACCCCACACTGGGGATCAAGCCCACAACTGGCCATGTGCCCTGACCAGGAATCAAACCGAGACCTCCTGGTTCATAGGTCGATGCTCAACCACTGAGCCATGCTGACCGGGCACTCCTCTTTTAATCCAGAGCAGTTTTATGTGACATAGATTTAACAGGCTATTGTTCTGTTGACAGTCTCACCTCATGGCATTTTATAATTTGTTCCTTTATCCCCTTATTTTCTATAAACTCCAGGTTAGATCTAAAGTCTAAGTTAGATTCAAATTTAACATTTTTTATTAGAATGCGCCATAGATCATGCTGTGTACTTTATGTTGCATCCCATTAGATAGAGTTTTGGGTTGTTTCATTGTTAGTGATGCTAAGATTGATGGCTAGATTAGGGTGCTTGATACCCTGATTCTTCCATTGTCAAGTTTTGTTTTTTCCTGAAGACCAGAAAGTAATGAGCTAAAGCAATGACTCACAGTTCCTTTTCAGCCATCACCTAATGTTTATAACACAGTTTGATAATAATCATCTCAGTAAATAATTTCAGTAGGAGCTGCAAAACGTGATTCATAGAGCCATCCCTCTATGTTATTTTTATAATATGTAGAGTGCATTCTAATACTAATGATTTTCAAGATGGTATGTTTACGCATTTAAAAATACATGCAATCCAGCCAGTGTCGCTCAGTGGTTGAGCATTGATCGACCTATCAACCAGTAGGTCATGGTTTGATTCCTGGCCAGGGCACATGCCTGGGTTGGGGACTCAATCCCCAGTAGGGAATGCAGGAGGCAGCCAATCAGTGCTTCTCTTCGTTGCTGTTTCTATCTCTCTCCCTCTCCCTTCCTCTCTGAAATCAATAAAAAATTATTTAAAAAATACATGCATTCTCATAGTTTAATAAGTCATATATGATAGAAAAAAGGTTTGATTTATGGGTCTTTAAGGGAATAGTTTGTTAGAATTATATGTAGAATGTACAAGGTTGCAGGGTAAGCTTATGGATCATAAAATTGGACCAGATTCTGATAGTAGTGGTCTTAACCATAATCAGTCTCACAAGGGCATCTTACAGAAATTTATTCTACAGAAGTAATCCAAAAGAAGGAAAAAGCTGCATATATTTATTTTAGTATGATCTGTGATGGAAAAAATGGAAATTCATTGCCCACGGTGGAAGTAAATTATGATGGCATTGTCCAAGAGAATAATGGTAAAAATTAAAATTGTGGCAAAGTTGAAGGAAGTACTTACATAAGAAAGAAAAAAATAATATAAAGTGCTTTTAAATAATGATTATGATATTTTAAAAGTATCTGTATTTGGACAAGGACAGAGAAACTTAGAAAAATGAGTTATGTTGGGATTGTGATTTGTCTTTTTTCTTTTATTCAGATTTCCATTACTATTTGTGTAATATTTAAATTAAGATAGAAAATAATTATGAATAACAGTGAATAGAGACTCAGATTGTTGAAGATACGATTAATTAAAATGATTAATTGGTTAAAACTGATTTATATCACAAATAGAGATGGATAATCTTTATATAGTTAGCAATCTTAGGATAAACCAGGATTATTCAGGAAGAGGTGTTAGATCACGTAAAAGCAGCTGTCTTATCAAAGTATAGATTTCAGTTCCTTAAATTTGAAAAGCTCATTACCAAATTAGTTATAGTTAATTGACAATCTGAATGAATTGTAAATATGGTAAGCCCATGGCATCAATGGGATACGGTACATGTTCCTAGACTTTCCTGAATCTCCAAGTTTGTGAATGATGCTATATAATTTTTCTCAGTAAATTAAGTATGCTGGATTCAAGATTTGCCAAAATTGTCACCTCTTCTTCCATTTTCTCAAGCATAGCACCCCATTCCTTAGTGTATCTACCACTACTTTCAGACAAAGAAATATTACTTTTTTTTTTTTCAGGGGGGGGGCTTGTTTTTTTTTTTTCATTTAAAAAACCCCCACCCACACACATGCATTTTTTTAAAATATATTTTATTGATTTTTTACAGAGAGGAAGGGAGAGGAATAGAGAGTTAGAAACATCGATGACAGAGAAACATCGATCAGCTGCCTCCTGCACACCTCCTACTGGGGATGTGCCCGCAACCAAGGTACATGCCCTTGACCAGAATCAAACCTGGGACCCTTCAGTCTGCAGGCTGATGCTCTATCCACTGAGCCAAACCGGTTAGGGCTACACACATGCAATTTTTAGCTGGCACAGTGCTTCCCAACCCATTCCAGTTGTTCCTGCTGAAGAAGGTACACAAAGATAAACAGCTACACCAATGGATCGTTAGTGCCGTCGGCACACTAAATCTTAAAAGAGAAGATCTGTTCCTCAGGAAGCATTTTCTTTCCATCTTTTGAAGTGTTTGTTATTCATCAGATTTGCACATTGGAACCAGTAGGGCAGCTTTTGTAAAATTCACGTGTCTGTCTCACCTCAGACTGACTCAGCATTCTCCAAGATGGCACCTCGTCCTGCGTTAAAAACACTTAGGACAATTTGAAATTCCTCTTTAATATGTTTTCTCATGTTTTGAACTAGCATGTTAAGTATATAAAGGAAAAACTTTAAAATTTAATGTGTTCTGATTTTCTAATCATACCCATTCTTTCTCCTGAGAAATAAATTGGCAGATATCAATAAAACGCTTCTAAATAAAATAAAAATAATAATAATAATAATAAAATGCTTCTAAAAACAGAGAAAGAAAAAATAAATAATTAAGTAGGACATATATAGAACAAGTAGGAAAAGCAAAAATATATTCTGGGCAAAACAATATAAAAGTACAAGAGAATTTTTAGAAACACAGTTGCAAGGAATATGAGACAGTTAGAACCAAGATAGTAATACAAACAAGGATCAAGAATCGTTGTAAAGGCTTCCTTTAGTGGTGACCCATGCTCTTACACAGCTCTTGTCAGGGAATACTAGTATATAATTGAATTGTATGTAAATGAGATGGCATATACGCTCTTACTGAGAATTCCCATGCTTTCCCACTCAGCTAGGATTCTTTAAAAAATAAAGATGTAATATAGTGGTTCATTTCAAACCATACCATAGTTTTCTTTTGTTTTCATTTAGGGTTCAATTAAGGACCAATTAAAAGCATATGGAGCTCTTACTGAGAATGTGACCAGGAAATACACCCGTCAGATTCTGGAAGGCGTCTACTATTTACATAGTAATATGATTGTTCATAGAGACATCAAAGGTAAGGAATGAGGTCTTTTCATTTTAAATACACAGTTTTCTTTGTGTGTGAATAAGAAGAGTAATACGCTTAAGAAATTTAACGTTTAAATCAGTACAGCTGCCTTTAAAATACTGTAGGACTCAGTCATATTCCGGCAAGTTCTGGTGTCCAGGTCTCCACGGTAGGCCGCTCCCCTATGGGCTTCACAGAATTAGTAAAGTTCAGATGACCATAAAGAGTGAGACCATGTTTCCTGTTAGGGCATAGGCATTAGAATGTAATGGTTCGGAGCAGTCTCTGGCACTAGATTGATGGCTTGGTTCAAATTCAGGCTTTATCCGTGATTAATCGCGTGACCTTGCACACACACACAGTCCCTCTATGCCTCCATGCCTCGTGTTTAGTGAGGGTGATAATGTCCAACTCATAAGGTTCCTGTAAGGATTAAATGAGATGACACATATACTATGCTTAAAACCGTGTCTGGTGTCTAGAAAGCATTCAGATAGCTATGGTGATGATGTACTTCATGTTGAGATCATATTAATTTAAGCCTTTGGAGTGGGTGTTATTATCTAGGGAGGAAATAAGAAGGAGGAAGGGAGCCTGAGATTGAGCTCAGATGAACTTCAACTCAATTAAGCTATTTTTAAAATTCAGCTGTTTTCAGGGATCAGGTATGTAAGGTAAATGCATGAAGTGAGGTAAAAGTGAGTGGAGGAGATATGTAAAATTTGAGAGTGCTTAAATTCTGTACTGCAAAGCATACCTGCAGGTGTGAGTCTATAAAAACTGAAGCTTGGTTCTAGAAAAATTGGGTTGTGACCCCAAATTAAAAGATGACTATTCAGTCAACCAATCTATACTAATAATAGAGGAATATGCAAATTGTCCCGGACGCCGTCACAGTAACAGTAATGACCAGCAGGCTGTCTGGGGCAACAAGGCCGGCAGCTGGGTTAGTGAGGGACGACCAAACGACTGAACAGCAGGCTGTGTGGGGCGACCAGGCCGGCAGGGGGGTTAGTGAGGGACAACCAAACAACTGAACATCAGGTTGCATGGGGTGACCAGGCCGGCAGGGGGGTTAGTGAGGGACGACCAAATGACTGAACAGCAGGCTGTGTGGGGTGACCAGGCTGGCAGGGAGGGCAGTAAGGGGTGACCAGGCCAGCGGGGGCAGGGGGGAAGTTAGGGGCAATCAGGCAGGCAGGCAGAGGTGGTTAGGGGCGATCAGGCAGGCAGGCAGGAGCGGTTAGGAGCCAACGGTCCCGGATTGTGAGAGGGATGTCCCAGATTGGAGAGGGTGCAGGTCAGGCTGAGGGACACCCCCCTGCCCACCTTGTGCACTAATTTCTTGCACCAGGCCTCTAGTCTATAATAATAAAAGCACAATATGCTAATTAGACCAGACATCCTTCTGACGACCTTCCGGATGAAGCTGGGGCCAGTGGCCAGAGGGAAGCCCAGGTCCCGGGTGCTAGAAGGAAGCCAGTGCCGGCAGCCAGGGAAAGGAAGGCCTACTGTTGCACAGATTTCGTGCATCAGGCCTCTAGTATATGAATAAAAATAAAAAATACATTTTTTATTGGTCTTACTGAGGGGTTGAGCTACCCAGGCATTTACTGCCTTCCTGTGGTGAGCCACATCCCGAATGTGGCCATATTCAGGCTAAAGAGAGCGCTGCTAACCAGTGTCTAGTGATATAGTGGACTCTGCTACAGAACATTGAGCCAGACCATCGCACCAGAATGAAGCATACAAGAGAAGGAGGGTGTGGCTCATGACCTGAAGAGAGAGGAGCCTGTCTTTCATGTCAAGATCTGCCCAGCTTAGGCAGGCCTCAGGTGTCAAAGACAGCTGATAGCTTGAAGAACCACACTGGGGAATTATTCTTTTAGGAATGATCTCTATTCAAGCTGGTTTCTCTTTAGCGCTCATAGTGAGATGAGGTACAGGGACCAAGGGGAGCTACCCCAGATGGGCCTTACCAGGAGTGATGAACCACACTAGTCAGATGAGGCTGGAAGCAAGCTGACTTAAAATCCTGATAGTACAAATACAGGGATAGGAGGAAAGTAAGGTGTAAGTTAGAGATGCAATACCGTCTGTAAAGTGAGAGTATGGCCTAGAAGAAAAGTGTTCATATGATTGACAGTGGTTACTTCCAAATGGCAGGATGAGTGATAGTTGTTTTCTTTGACACAGTTTTTACTTTTTCTATATTTCCCAAACTTTATGGTGAGAAATTTTTAAACTGTGAGGGAAAAAGAACGATAGTTGATGAAACCTAGGATAAAAACTAATTGATCATTGTTGCTAGGCAATCAACTCATTATTTCATAACAGGGTCCCTTTATTCTGCCTTTCTTTTACTGACTGTACCATTGAGGACAACATAGTGGTTGAAAGAAAACTTGTCTTTATAGCAATATTTTGACTAACAAATGAAGAAGGAATTATGGAATAGTGCCATTTTACAACCACTAATGAATTAATAGGTATAAGCATTAAAGATTAACAGGTGCTGACATCTAAAACAGAGACAGTTGAGCATGACATACTTCCTATCTTTAGATTACATCATCATATCTATGAAGTAGTTTTGCAAAAAGTAATAATAATAATCTGAATCTGATCAAGCCTTTAGATTCAGCTACCAAATTTTAGAATTGTAGACTATACATATCAGCAGACGAACATGGCCAATAGGGTGCCTTGGGATGGAGTCCGAAGACCTAGTCACTAGGAAAGCCACGGGCAGACAACTCAGGTTCCTCCTAAAGTGCCATGGAAAAGATCACAGGGACCTTTAGATCAGTAAAGGCTTAACATATGAATCATTGAGTCTCAATGTATGGACCTTATTTGGATTCTGGTTTTTATAAAAATGTAAAAACCCCTGAGTATATATTTAACATTATTAAGGAGGTATTGTCCATCCTGTTTGGTGTAATAAGAGCCATTATCTTTTAAAGCTAATGAACTATCGATCATGAAGTCTTGCCTTTGTTTCAAATAATATGAGGGGAGAAGAGGGAGAGGCTGGCAGCACAGGTGGGGCTGGGGCGTGGATACATAAACTGTTCTACCTGCTTTTATATTTGTTTGAAAAATCTCCTTCATAGTTTGCTTTTAAGGTATCCAAAGGAAGTTGAAAACGCAGGAGTCTGTATTGGGAACCTGGTTACACATTTTTCACTCAGCCCTTCGTATGGATGGGCATTGATGCCACATTGGTGATTCCTCCCCATAGTTAGCTCTGCCTGTCTGTGGTCTGCCTGGGACTGTGCCTTCCCTGCTGTAGCCAGTAAAATCTGGCTTGTTTTTGCCCTTCCCTGGCTAAATATTTTAGAGATAGTGGCTTTTTTTTTTTGCAGAGTCCTTTTTGCGTGATGAACAGGGAGATGTTGAACAGGGTAGACAGTGCTGTTCTGCCGGACTGCTGGTGTGTGCCTCCCTCGGGCCTGTGGCTCGCTGGGAGGGCATCTGGTACTGGCAGAGCTGCGGAGAGCCACCACCACCAGGCTGGGGTTTGCTGGGAGGACAGAGACAAGTACGGAAGTTCACAGTGGGACTGGACAGTATGCATTCTCTCCCGTCTATAATGTAGCTTTTCTCCACTACTCACTCTCCTTAGAGGCCATTAAAAAAAAAAGGAAGAAGAAAAGGATTTTTAAAAATATAAAATACTAGAGGCCCGGTGCACAGATTGGTGCACTGGTGGGGTCCCTCGGCCTGTCCTGTGGGGATCAGTGGACCTCCAACTGATCGATGTTTCTCTCTCCCTCTCTCCTCTCTCTAAAATCAATAAAAATAAAATATTTAAAAGACCTTTCATCATTTCCCCCCACTTAAAAAAATATGTGGTTATGGTTATAGGAGACTTAAAAAGAACAAAGTAGCCCTGGCCACTGTGGCTCAGTTGATTGTTTTCCAGTGCACCAAAGGGTTGCTGGTTCAGTTCCTGGTCAGGGCACATGCCCGGGTTGCAGGCTCGGAGGGCATGCAGGAGGCAGCCAATCCGTGTTCTGCTCTCACATCAGTGTTTTTCTTTCTCCCTCTCCCTCTCATTCAAAATCAATAAAAATATTTTTTAAAAATAACAGTTTCAAAATTGGATAAGTTAAAATAAATTGCTTATTTAAAAACTGGTAGTTTATAGGTAAAGCTAAAAATGAGAATAGAAATAATTTACCTAAGACAGAAACAAGACTTGTAATTTCAGAAGAAAAAATTGAGTTTTAAAATGATAAATAAAGGGGAAAATAGAGAATAACAAATAAATGAACCTAGCCCCTGGATCTTGGTTTCTGATACCATTAAAAGTAACTAGGGCCCAGCCGGTGTGGCTCAATGGTTAAGCATTGACCTATGAACCAGGAAGTCACAGTTAGATTCCCGCTCAGGGTACATGCCCGGGTTGTGAGCTCGATCCCCAGGGTGGGGTGTGCAGGAAGCACCTGATCGATGATTCTGTCATCATTGATGTTTCTCTCTCTCTCTCTCCCTCTCCCTTCCTCTCTGAAACAATAAAAATAAATTTTAAAAAAAAGTAACTAGGGCTCTTTGGAGAGAGGGCTGATTCTAGGCCTTGAGCATCTAATAGTGCCCGAAAGTAAGAAGATGCTAAAAACCAACCCCAAACCAAAAACAGGAACACAATGATGGGGTTATGACAAAGGGACACAGGAGCCAAGAGAAAGAGTTCCCACTGGCCAAAGCTGGGACAATCTGAGCAACGAAAAAGGCACGTTAGTTTATAACCCAAAGTATAAAATAAATATCCTTGTGTTCATAGTGATACAAACAAATGGGCAAAGAAGCCGGTGGGAGAGGAGACAAGCTCCTGTGCAGAATGATTCCCAGTAATTCCTGTCTCCGCTCCGCCTGGAGCGCAGCCGACTCCTTCATGGGCTGTGTGCCAGCCTCTCGGGACAGCATGGCGAGGGAGAGGGGCACTTCACCGTAGAGAATTCAACCACCTCAAGCTAGGCAATCAAAGTCAGTTTATAATAAGTTTATTATAAAAGTAAATGAAATTTAAAAACAAAGCTGGAAGCTTGCTTAGAAGAGATTTTAAATATGTAGAAATTGAGAAGAAACATCAATATAAAGCAAAACCCAATATTTAGAGAAACTATAAAATATAAAATAACTAATACTAAGTTAGAGCAGGAGAGGAAAGTGCTGGAAGTTTTCATGATGAGGGTCCCCCGGGACATCCCTCCTCAGGGAAATGAGCTTTAGCTGCAGCCTCTTGCTTTAGGACAGACACACTGGGCCCAGAGCCTGCTGTGCTGCCCCTCCTCCGCCCGCCCCGTCCCCGCGTGGCCTTCACGCACTCCCTGGTTCTGAATCTTCACTGTGTGAGTGAGCCCTTCATGGGCACTGTCCTGACTGGCGGTGCGAGCGGCAGTTTGGAGACAGATCGAAGAGTCTGCTCCCTTTACTTCTCTGCTGTTGTCCTTTTATCGCTCCAAACTGCCGACAGGAAGAATGCAAGGAGGATGTTTCTTATTTTTAGGTGCGAATATTCTGCGAGATTCAACAGGCAACGTCAAGCTAGGAGATTTCGGGGCCAGCAAACGGCTTCAAACAATCTGCCTTTCGGGGACAGGAATGAAGTCTGTCACGGGCACGCCCTACTGGATGAGCCCCGAGGTGATCAGCGGGGAAGGCTACGGCCGCAAAGCGGACATCTGGTAGGTCTGCTGCGGCCTGTCTCCGCGGGTAGAAATGCCTGGCCAGGTGTCAGGGGTCTTTCGTGCTTTTGAAATAGGATGTCAGGGTTGCAAGGGTGAATATTTTAATTATGCCTCATTGAAGCTTAATCATTGACTTCCATTCTTGACGAAGGGTTTTATCTTAAGCATCTTCAGTACTAGAAAACTATTTTTCATTTCCCTAAGAACTTAGAAGTAATCAATTTTTACTGTTAGTCTCTTATAATTTAGCTATTCTTAAAGTAATACTTTGTGCTTAACCATTTGAGTCAGTCCTTAAATTGTGGTTTATTTTCACTGATTTTTATCTTTAAACTATGTTATATATAGTTACAACCTTTTAATGAAACTAAACTTGAAATCAATCACACTTAATGTATATTGACTTCACTCCTGTTTCTCATTTTGTAGTAACTATCCTTCTTTATGATGATCTTGTTTGTGTAAATGTAACTTTTAAATTCCTTTTCAGGAGTGTGGGCTGTACTGTGGTAGAAATGCTAACTGAAAAGCCTCCGTGGGCGGAATATGAAGCAATGGCTGCCATCTTTAAAATCGCCACTCAGCCCACAAACCCCAAGCTGCCCCCTCACGTCTCCGACTACACCCGGGATTTCCTCCAGCGCATCTTCACCGAGGCCAAGCTGAGGCCGTCGGCGGAGGAGCTGCTGAGGCACCTGTTCGTGCACTGTCACTAGCAGCCAGCCCCCCCTGCCCCCGGCGCCCATCTGCCTGCACCTCCTCTCTGACTGCACTTTTCTTTTTTATAAAAAAGAGAGATGGGAGGAAAAAGACAAGAGGGAAAGTGTTTCTCTTGATTCTTGGTTAAATTTGTTTAATAATAGTAACCTAAATTTTTTATATTTAATCGTTTTTTTCCCTTACAAGAACTTGAAACTTTTTTTAAAAATTTTTATAGTGTACTGATGTGGTTCAGACATTTAAAGCACTTTAGTATGTGGTCACTCTTTCTAGTACAAACATCATTTGGAATACCTGGGACTAGAGGGCCTTTCTCTGTGCTACCGGCAAATCGGTGGTGCTAGACATGGAAACAAGGAGAAGAAAATGATATCTGCTTTGTAGTTTTTAATGACAGTACTTAAAATAGATCCTCATTTGTGGGTTTGAGCCCTAAACTTAAGTCTAGAGTGGGTACTCAACTTAAAGAATATAGGTTCCTCCTTATATCTGTATTCTTTAGATCCTAACCTCTGTATACCAAGCTTCTTGCTCAGTAGGAATCATGATAGAAAATATGAATCTCTAAGAACTATGTTTATTTGTTAATCCTAATCAGTATAATAAGCAAATACACTATAGAAGATCCATGTTACTGGGATCTAAAAACCTTGTGGGATAGTTTTCTGGTTTTGTTTTTTTTTTAAAGATACTATTTTATTTTAAAACAGATATGGAAGTCAATGAGCAAATCCAAATTAAAAGACAAAAGGAGATTGCTTTACTTAATGTGTGCACAGTAGAAGAGACCACGTTTGCCAATCAAGAGAAATAATGAGAAGCAGAAGTATGTGTTGTTTAGTGTATTTTAAAGTGTGATCTTTACCTGAGGGAGAAAGTCCCAAAATTAAGAGAAAGAATAAATAATCAAAATAATGTATATTCTATCTTCCTATTTCTAGCTCCTGATTCCCCATAGGGTAACATTTCTTAGGAACTAAGAGTTTCACCTGGAGTTTCCATGAAGCTAGTGTCGGGAGATAAACCCTTGTTCTTGGGATCACAGAATACTGAGCCACCTCAAACATAGTAAGATAGTGGCTCTCCAGGGGCAGGGCTGTTTCCCTTGGCACCTGCAAGGCCTGGAGACAGCTTTGGCTTCACAGCTTAGGAGGATGCCAGTGGCATCTAGTGAGTCGAGGCCAGGGATGCTGCTAAACAAACCACAGTCTATAAGGACCACACCTGCTCCCGACAGAACCATCCTGCTCAAAATGTCCAAAGTGCCAAAGTTCAGGAGCCCTGTGGTAAAGACCAGCCCCAGTTACAGACTGCTGGCAGCCATTTACAAAGCAGGCTCCTTGCAAACAGTAATTTCAGAGAGAAGGTGATAGGATGCATAGTGAGTGTTTTACAAGAGCAAATACCACTGCTTCAAGTCAGGGTGAATGACCTCAACACCAGTAGCAACCCATTCCTTCCCAGCTGTACATCGCACCCAAAGCCGGAACTCCCTGCTAGAGACAGAATGGCTTCAAACACAGAGCTCATTGAACTCCGCTGTCTGCATATATTCTTTCCTCAACTCAGCTTACAGTCGTGGGAAAAGCAAAGCATATCAAAACAAGGTTTAACTACTTTATAGGAAAGTTAAAACCGCCAGGTATTTCTAGTACAATGTATCCACTAAGAGCAAGGACTTTGAATGGAAGGAGACCTAGGAGAAGCCATGATCCTGATGGACTGGAGCTACTGAAAAATATGAATGCTATCAGTGATGTGGCCACTTGCAATATTTCCCAGTTTATTAAAGCAAGTGCGAAGTGCTTTATGTTTAAAGATCTAGAAAGTAGTAGTCTTCCTGGAGGCCCTATATGTGATGCCTTTTATGGGATTCATAGGGGATGCAGATATTTCATTTTCTGCTAAAAAGTATGATTTTTAGGGATTCAGCTGTTTCTGAAGTTCATTAGATTGTGGTTTACTGTATCAGGTCCTATCTGTCATTCCCTGTAGGAAATTTGAAGTTCTACTAGCTAGTCTGAGAAGAAGTCAAAACACCAAGATTCTCATACCCTGTAATCCACGGAAGCGGCTCACCAGGAAGAATATGAATCAGTGGTCTCCCTGGAGGTCAGCGGCACCCTGTGCTGGGAGCCATCCCCAAGGACAAGGAGCTGTCCCGTTTCTCATCTTCTCATGGGTGAAGCATCACTTGTGCTGGAGCGAGACCACAGTGTCTGGGCCAAGGGGCTTTTCCTTTGTTCTTTGTCTGTGTGGCTGTGATTTCCTTCTGACTCTTGTTGGTCTGTCAGGGTAACCAGCGGTGCAGAATCTGAGACTAACACTCTTAGAGAGAGATCCTGGGAGACTCTGACACCCAAAGCAAAATTGTTTGCTTTTTTCAGTCTCCCTTTTACTTTTAAATGCATAGAAAACAAATCACCTGAAAGAAACTTCTACTTTAACACTGCTGCAGAAGACCTTTGTTTTATAGGAAAAATATTATTAGCTATGGGAGAGTACTGTTCTTTAATGTAAAGACTTAAAAATAGACTAATAGTTTACAGAGTTATTATATAAAATGTGATGTGAATTTATTTTAAATAAGTTGTAAAGGTACCAAAACCACAAGAAAAGTTAATATATATAAAAGCTACTAGAACAAAAAAGCTTGAAGTGGGATGACGTATGGAAGAGCAAAAGTAAATTTTAAAAAGAAATTTTTGAGATAAAACACCTTTATAAGGGGCAATTAGATATAACACTCCACCCCCTTTTTTTTTCTAATAATGGTATGGATCAACAAATGAAATTTGAACTTTTTAAGATGACTCTAAATGTGTTTTGTTTTTTAGCTGCACAACTCATCTTCTATAGATAGTGCTTCTTTGCTGAGGCTGGAAAGGGTCAGACTGCTGACTGTGCCTTCACGATGCCGCGCTCAGGCTGTGGCGGACTCTGGTGCTGGAAAGGTCCCCGGGCAGTCTGACCGTGCTTTTCAGGAAGTGTCTTTCCACTTGGGCCTTGCGGGAGTCACGATGGCAGGACCTAGGTTTTGGCCAAGTAGAAGATTTTACATCGCAAACAAAATGCATTGAGTAAAAGGGTTGAAAAATAGAATGACTAATGGAAATTTAGTAATGGTTAGTAATTCTTTCAAATGTATTTGAAATTTTCTGTATGAATATCTTACAATTTTTTCCATTTTCCTCATTTACAAAACATGTTTCTAACTTGAAAAAATGGTTAAAGACTGTTGCCTTAGAATGTTTTCAGAGGCATCGTCAACCTCCCATATTTATATGAAATTGAAACGCACAGGTTGAATGAGCTACAAAAAAATTAAAGCTTATTTTAGAGTAAATTGAATTGGCTTTCACTTGAGATTCTATCTTATTCTTTAGAAACTATGTTAAAAAGAAAAATTATTTGTTTAGAGCAGCTTTCTGCTACTTTACCTCTTACATGTGTCAGGTCTGATCTCTAGTATTTCTGAGATGGAGTTTGGATAAGATATGTGAAGTCATTGAGAAAATCAAATCTGAATAGTTTATAGGGACGACCATGCTTGGGCTCAAAAGCCAAGATGTTTGCCACATGCCAACTCCTTGGCCCATGGCAGCGTTCCGAGCCAGGGGTTTCATTTGGGGTCTAGGGACCAATAGCTTGGATATAAAATCATCTGGTGTCAGTCAAGTATAGTAATCAGTTTTTTTAAATAAGGTGAATCTTTTTTTATTTGCTCACTCAGTAATTGTGGCTACTGTGTCAGTACTAATTCACTTACCCTTAAGGAGATCCCAGCCTAGGAGGAGACACGGGCAAACAGTACCCTCACTCTGAGAGCTCAGCAATGATGTTTAAAGTCTTACGGTTTCTTGTGATGTAAGGAAATAGCAGTTTTGGGTAATTATTGGCTGTTACAAACCAAAATGTCATTAACAACATGAATTAAAAGTAGCCCCAAATTAGAGGGACCTCCGTTGTTCAGCAGCCGCTCTCTCAGGACTCCCTCCCACAACCCAGCCTCTGCTCAGACAGTTCCGCCATGAAGGGCATTTATCCCATAAACAGTGCTTTTTCCTTCTGTTTCTTTTAAAGAAAAAAAAAACTTTATTTTGGTCTAAATTGTCTAGAAATTTTATAGGAATTGAATTCTATCAACAGTGTTATTTATACTAAGATCCAGACAATTTCTTAAAACCTTCCTGTTTTATATTGGGTTTGACCTTTGTTACGAATGTAATGTTCATATTTATTTGAATTTTAAGATTGGTTAAATGTTAATGAAAAGCAATTTAACTGTTCATTTTTGGTAGTGCCTTTTTCTCTGTATGCCTTAATTTTATTTTATATGAATAATTCATGTGACCCACCAAAATGAAGTTTTTTTCCCAAAATCAGTAGTTTCAAGAATTGATTTGGCCTTAGACTGTGTATTAGCCCTTAAATATTTCTTACTTCCTGCTTCCTCCTCCTACCCTTTTCTACCTCTTCTTTTTAATGTTAGAAGACAAACATCGGCATTAATCTGCACAGACACAGCACAGTCTCCGTGAGACGTGGACTGCTGAGATAGGAGAGGGTGTCCTCCTTCTAAAGGCAGGCGGGAAGGTGTCTTCCGGTGGGCGCTTGATTTTCAGTCAGATGGACACTGTCCAGAGTCTCTGTATATCATGGTTCAGTTCTGATGATCATAGCAGAGGTAGAATGGTTGTTTTTGCCCTAACAAGGTTGTTTAAATGGTTTACAAATGTTCAGGCAATGAGACGTAGGGCAATGAGCAAGAAATCCAGGGATAGCAAATTTCTAATCTAACATTGTAATGAAAACTCTAACTTACATTTCTGTGAAGTGTGTGTGTGTGTGTGTGTGTGTGTGTGTGTGTGTGTGTGTAGTGGAGCAGGGATGGAAAGAGAGGAAAGGTATGAATGTTCAGTTAGATTAGTTTCTGTTCTTGGAGGAACAACTCAAACGTGTATGACCTACTGGTGATGGATGAGTAATCATCCTTGGGTAGGAATACCAGCATTCTTCACAAGTAACTAGTACAAATGATTATTTAATACAGGTATTTATTGTAAATTGCCAAGCTCTTGGTTGCTAAAAGTAGATTAAAATTAAATTTGTATGTGTGTATAATAGTTTATACTTAACCCTTAAATAGAAAGTAATTGATTTTGCATAGTTCTTCATGAACTCTTTGGGATAGAAATTCTGCCAGACATTATCAAAACCAGCTTCCTTAGTTTATGAAACATTGGAAAGGAAATTCTCTTACACCTCCTCCTGGTTGGCTAGGGAGCGCATGCTGTGGAGCCACTGGCCCTGCTTCACAGGGTCTCCATCTGAGCAGGATGCCACAGCAGGCGAAGGAAGGTCAGAGCCAGCAGTGCCCACGCTTGCCTCATGCACTCTCAGGAGAGTCTGGAGACTCCTCTCAGTGATGGCGAGAGTGGACATGAGTCATGTCAGAGTACAGGGAGGAGTCAGCTAGAGAAAAGAGTAGAATCGTACCTGTTGCCTGCACCCAGTCTTTTATGTAATTCTTCATGTTTTTCATAATTCTGCATTTTAATTGACAGTAATATATGTTTGATAAAACAGCAAAGGCATTAAGTTAGTGAGTCCTGTTATTCCCTATGCCTGATTACTCTTGTTTGCATTCACAATCTGCAATATCAGAATCACTTTAAACCAAAGCTTTTATATTCCCTGCACACATTGCCAAAATGATTAGCACCGTTACTTCTGCCCACCTGTAAGCTAATGGGATAAAAATGACAAAGTAGATACTAGTAGAATCTGCATCTCAGTCTATCCTCAGGTAAAAGGAGAGGCGCTCAGTGTTTGCACTTAGGCAGCAGAATTTACTTCAGCTATTACGGAACTACAGGATTGCAGACTTGAGCCTGTACACCTGCCGAGCTCCTTAACATCAGCTGGCCATAGATACGTTGACTAGCGATGCCTGCGGTTGGAAGTGTACTTTCTTCTAGTGTCTTAACATTTAGGAACTTATGATTGATTGGGAGACATATCAGGAAAGCTGTGAAGAAATGCAAATTATAGTCTGATGTCTGCTTTGTGCCATAGACACTTTGGAACATAAAAAAGAGTCTGCATTCCAGTTTACATGCAGCATTTGTCCACAAATAAGGATATCTGAGTCCTTTAATGACAGTTGAGAACAGTAAAGTTTGTGATTGTACTGAAAGCACTTTTATGTTCATTAATTTTTTTAGAATTTAAATTTTAAAAGCATATGTAACGTGGTGATTTTAGCATTAGCATTACTTAGAGGAGAGAGATAAGTAACAAAATTACATCTTAAACTCTAGTAGATACTTAGACTCCAAAAGGCATTTGACATATTCTAATTTTTCCAAAGACTTTTCCCCCCACCTGGAATAAGAAGGGAGGACTAACGGAAACACTGAGATGAAAAGTCTTATGGGCGAAAGGAAGTGGGAAAGTGGGCCAAACCTTGCAATATACCCTATTCAAGCAAAAGCACCGTGTCTAAGGGTAAGAATGCTTCTTTAAAAACATGATTGTTTTTAATACAATGTTAATTAGTAAAAGGTTTACATTTTTTCTATTGCTGTTGGTTTTAAAATTTGCTACTCTGCATTCAGAAATATTATAAAATAGTTAATACCAAGAATACTTTTAATGTCTGACATCTCTTACATTTCACATGGTTCTTTTTATTCAAATATCATTATAAATAAAAGTAAACTTGGATAAGTTTGAGAATAAACTTTGTTACAAACTATGATTATCAATTTGTAAATTTACCTTTTGGCCTAATGTACATTTTTTAATGTAGCCATTAAATTCTTTATATTTAACCTATTAGTTTCTCTCTGTAAAAAATTTTAATCTCAGTTGAATGCTGGGCAGTTTATAATAATGTACAAATAATAATGTTTTTTTCCTATCAAGGTTGACTTTGCACATTTTTGGAAGTTTTTAATTTGTACACTGATGTACTGCTTTGACCAATAATTGTTGATGTGTGTATGAGCATCATGAATGTGTGCATTGAACTACTGTCTGTGTCTCTGTTTTAACTTCTTTCAACATGTGGCCATCAGTAACTGCACTGCTGTCACAGACTTACATGGACCTTACTGCTTTTACAGTGTATGCTCGTCTTGGTTCTCTCTTTGTCGAAGAACTCAGGAGTTCAACTCACTTTCTGATTTTACATGTATCTTAAAATCCATGACTAAGTTGAAAGTATGCTTGCAACTCCATGTATCAGGGGATGTTGTGTGTGGAGATGTCTGTCTGTCTGTCTGTAGGCACATTTATATATTCCAGTAATTTCTTGTTTTCATTTGTTTCTACATTTTTATGAACTTGTTTTTTATAAGGGTACTGTTTAGTTAGAATTAAATATATGTAAAAGCTTTCTGAGAGATTATTTACTATATGAATATATTTTCAGCTGGCTGATCTAAAATATTTTTAAAATTTTGTTTTTAACTATTCACAACACGTTTGTATTTCCAGAATTAGACACAAGTTTACTTAGATGTAAGTTAAAGTACTCCTGGGAGGAAGAGCATTGGTTCTCTTTTGAGAATTCTCTGAAGTGCAAATTCAGAGGAAAAAGGAGATCGTAAGCAGTAGCAAAAACACACTGCCCACTAAAATGGCCTTTGAGTCCTCAGAGCTATGAAAAAACTGAGAACTAACTCGTCTTGAAAAGATGCGGAGACTTTTCTGTCTCCAGGCTCTCTTGGCTGGTCCTACTGTTGTTGACTGTTTCCTTTATCCTACCCTAAAGATGTTAACAGTTAGGTTTTTTCCTCACTGGGCAAGGTCAGACCTCGTTTATGATTCTCTGCAATTGACTATAAATTGGTCTAGAAATGTCCAAACATACATTGAATGTCTTTGTACTGTACTGTGTATGCTAAGTAACTGGCAGAAAAAGAATTGGAAATTAAATTTCCAATCTGACAATGTTATTGTACTTAAGGAAATCCTTGTTTTTAATATGCGGTACCATGTAAAATTACTTGTGTTAGGAATACAGTCCACTGTTGAAGTTGAATGTCACTAAGCTTATTATGTTACAAGAGCCAGTATGATTAAAACCTCCCAGAAGCCAGATACAGCGTGGTATGTGCCACATTTCATGCATATTTTGACTTTGTGTTGTTCATTGAAAGTTGTGCTTGTAAAAATGTATAAAATTTCAGAGTTTTTATGTATTTGTTTTTCTTGCTGATAAATAGCTTTTTAAAAATCTAATGTGAAAGAAACCATGTTTATATTTTGTTAGTGATCAGTGACTTTGTTTATATGGAAATTTGTATATTGTTGGCACACATTTTTTTTAGATTTATCATGCATGAAGGCTGCAATAATTAGCACAATGAAAATTGCTTTTTTTTTTTTTAACATGTTAATTCATTTGAAAGATTGTGGTGCAAAGGGTTACTCTGAGTAACCTGGGTTATGGAATATAAATGAACGGCACTCTGAGTGTTAATAAAGCTAATATTTATTTCCACTGTGATTGGTTTGTCCAAATCTGTTCTTGGACGCAGTGTGTTCCCACTTGTCCCTTCTTTGCCTGAGTTGATCACTTTCTAGGAGACCAAGCACAGACTAACCTAGAAACATTGCAACTAAATCTTGCCAGGGTATACATCTGTGAAGTCCTACCCACCAGGCTCTGGCATATCTTTTTCTGGACACTTTGATTACCCAAGTCAGAAATTAACAGTGATGAAGCATAGCATAAACACTGCCTTTGAAACTCACAGGTCTTGGGCATAGCTTCACAGCCAAGCAACAGTGTAGAGTCCAAGGGCTTGTTATAAGGGCTCTTCAGCACTCAGCTGAACTGCTCTTTTAAAAACAAGGTACACTTTTTAAAAATAGCATGAACAAAGCCTACTTAGTCAAAGTGTAAGGAATGGGTGTTCCCACAGTATTGGAGAAATTTAAATTATTCTTTTTATGTTTATTTACTAAATTGATGGGGTGACATTGGTCAACATAAACATTTAGGTTTTAGGTGTGGGTTTCTATGTTACAAGATCTGTATATTACACCGTGTGCTCACCACCCAAAATTAAATCTTCTGTTACCAAGAGATCATTTAAATTAATACTTTCATATAGAGGGCAACTTAGCAATGCAAGATAAAAGCCTCAGAATCTTGTATATTTTCTGACCCAGCAATTCTGTATCTATGAATTCTGTGGCAATGATTGCAACTGTGCTTAAGATATAGCTAATATATATAAAAGCCTAAGCGACTGGCTGGCCGGTAGCTATGACATGCACTGACCACCAGGGGGCAGATGCTCAACGCAGGAGCAGAAACCACAGGCATGGAAACATGGAACAGACTGATGGATCTCAGAGGGAAGAGGGTAAAGGGGAGGGCGGGAAGAGATTAACCAAAGATCTTATATGCATACTAGAGGACCAGTGCATTGATTCATGCACTGGTGGGGTCCCTCGGCCTGGCCTGCACCCTCTCACAATCTGGGACTCCTTGGGGGATGTTGGAGAGCTGGTTTTGGCCCGATCCCCGCAAGCCAGGCCAAGGGGCCCCACCAGTGCACAAGTCCATGCACTGGGCCTCTAGTATAGCTATACAAGCCCCAAATTGAGGCTATGTTCAACAATGGGGGTTATGTAACGAAGTACCACAATCGGGCTAGTCGCTTATAACATCAGAAATTTGTCAACTGGAGGCTAGAAGTTCAAAATCAAGGTGTCGGCAGGGCCATGTTCCTGTGGAAGTGCAGGGAAGTCTCTGCTCCTTCCAGCTCTCGGTGGCCCCAGGTTCTCTGTGGCTCGTGCTGACAGCTGCATTCTCTGCCTTCTGTCTTCACATGGTGTCCTCCCTCTTTGTGTCTACCCCTCTGTGTGTGTGTCCCATGTTTATAAGGACACCAGAGTCATATTGGATTAGGGCGCACCCTGATGACCTCATTTTAACTTGCTTACTTCGAAAAACCCTGTTTCCAAATAAGGTCACATTCCAAGGTACCCGAGGTTAGGACTTCAAAATCTCTCATTTGGTGGAAAGGCAAATCCATTGTAGTCAGTTCTGTGGCCCCTAAAAATTCTATTCTACTCACATGCAAAATACATTCACCCCATCCCACCATATACCAGTCAATAATTCCAGCATCCACACGAAGGCCAATATTCATCTAAACAACTCAAAATCATCTAACTCATTCAAGTCAATTATTGGTTAGACTTGGTGTATGGTTCATGCTGGAGCAAAAGTCCTTTTCATCTGTGAACCTATCAAACCAGACTACTCTGCTTTCAGGTGGGACAGATGGGGGGTAGACAGTTATACTTCGGAAGGGAGAAAGCAGAAAGAAAGGGCCTAGGTCCCAAGCAAGTCAAACCTAACAGGGCCAACAGACTTCATTCGATGGTAAGACTTGAGGAAAACCCTCATAGGCCCCTGGCTCTGTCCTGAGGAGCCCACTGGGTGGTGGCATTGCTCCCTCAGGACCAAGGAGGTGCCCCAAAGGCACTGGCCCACCCCCGGGCCTGTGCCTCCCAGCCTGTGACAGCAGCTGCCTGCTGGCCTTTGAACTGCCTTCCAGTCACTCTTCCCTTTCCTTAAAGTAGAACATGTTTGCAGCCGAACAGCTCCACCAGTCCCTTTCCTCCCACAGAAGTCCAGGTCTGGCAGCCTTCCTTCCTTCAGTCCCTTCTCTCTGGAAGCGGGCGGGGTTTCTGCTGCCATCATTGCCTGTACCCACCCGTAAACCACAAGCCTGATCTTTTTTTTTTTTTTTTTTTTACTTTTTCTCTTAAATCCACTTTGTCCAAGTAATCTTTGTTTGTTTGTTTGTTTTATTGCTTAAAGTATTACAAAGAGTACTACATATGTCTCCTTTTTTTCCCCCCTTGACATCCCCCCGGCCTCCCCTACTCCCCAGTGTCTTATGTCCATTGGTTATGCTTATATGTATGCATACAAGTCCTTCGGTTGATCTCTTAACCCCCCGCCCCTCTTGCCCCCCAACCCTCCCCGGCCTTCCCGCTGTAGTTTGACAGTCTGTTCGATGCTGCTCTGCCTCTGTATCTATTTTTGTTCATCAGTTTATAATGGTCTTTATTATCCATAAATGAGTGAGATCATGTGGTATTTTTCTTTCATTGACTGGCTTATTTCACTTAGCATAATGCTCTCCAGTTCCATCCATGCTGTTGCAAATGGTAAGAATTCCTTCTTTTTTACAGCAGCATAATATTCCATCGTGTAGATGTACCACAGTTTTCTAATCCATTCATCTGCTGATGGGCACTTAGGCTGTTTCCAGATCTTAGCTATGGTGAATTGTGCTGCTATGAACATAGGGATGCATATATCCTTTCTGATTGGTGTTTCTGGTTTCTTGGGATATGTTCCTAGAAGTGGGATCACTGGGTCAAAAGGGAGTTCCATTTTTAACTTTTTGAGGAAACTCCATACTGTCTTCCATAGTGGCTGCACCAGTCTGCATTCCCACCAGCAGTGCACGAGTGTCCCCTTTTCTCCGCATCCTCTCCAGCACTTGTCGTTTGTTGATTTGTTGATGATGGCCATTCTGACAGGTGTGAGATGGTACCTCATTGTTGTTTTGATTTGCATCTCTCGGATGATTAGTGACTTTGAGCATGTTTTCATATGTCTCTTGGGTTTCTGAATGTCCTCTTTTGAAAAGTGTTTATTTAGGTCCTTTGCCCATTTTTTTATTGGATTGTTTATCTTCCTTTTGTTAAGTTGTATGAGTTCCCTATAAATGATGGAGATTAAACCCTTATCAGTGAAAACATTGGCAAATATGTTCTCCCATGCAGTGGGCTTTCTTGTTGTTTTGTTGATGGTTTCTTTTGCTGTGCAGAAGCTTTTTATTTTGATGTAGTCCCATTTGTTTATTTTCTCTTTAGTTTCCAATGTCCTAGGAGCTGTATCGGTGAAGAAATTGCTTCGGCATATGTCTGAGATTTTGTTGCCTTTGGATTCCTCTAGTATTTTATGGTTTCTCGTCTTACATTTAAGTCCTTTATCCATTTTGAGTTTATTTTTGTGTATGGTGTAAGTTGGTGGTCTAGTTTCATTTTCTTGCATGTATCTGTCCAATTTTCCCAGCACCATTTATTGAAGAGACTGTCTTGACTCCATTGCATGTTCTTGCCTCCTTTGTCAAATATTAATTGAGCATATTGGTTCGGGTCGATTTCTGGGTTCTCTATTCTATTCCATTGATCTATATGTCTGTTCTTGTGCCAGTACCAGGCAGTTTTGAGAACAGTGGCTTTGTAATACAGCTTGATATGTGGTATTGAGATCCCACCTACTTTGTTCTTCTTTCTCAGGATCACTGCAGCTATTCGGGGTCTTTTTTTATTCCAGATGAATTTTTGGAGAGTTCTTTCTAGGTCTGTGAAATATGTCGTTGGTATTTTAATGGGGAGTGCATTGAATTTATAGATTGCTTTGGGTAGTATGGACATTTTAATGATGTTGATTCTACCAATCCATGAACATGGTATGTTCTTCCATCTGTTTATGTCTTTATCTCTTTTTTCAACGTCCTGTAGTTTTCTGAGTAGAGGTCTTTTACCTCTTTAGTTAAGTTTATTCCTAGGTATCTTAATTTTTTTGGATGTGATGGTAAATGGGACTACTTTTTTAGTCTCTCTTTCTGAAAGTTCACTATTGGTGTATAGAAATGCCATAGATTTCTTGGCGTTAATTTTGTATCCTGCTACATTGCCGAATTCATTTATTAAGTCTAATAGTTTTTTGATGGAGTCTTTAGGGTTTTTTATGTATAATATCATGTCATCTGTGAATAAGGACAGTTTTACTTCTTCATTTCCAATTCGGATGCCTTTTATTTCTTCTTATCTAATCGCAATGGCTAATACTTCCAGTACTATGTTGAACAGGAGTGGTGAGAGTGGGCATCCCTGTCTTGTTCCTGTCCTTAAGGGAAATGGTGTTAGTTTTTGCTCATTTAGTATGATGTTGGCTGTGGGCTTCTCATATATGGCTTTTATTATGTTGAGGTATGATCCTTCTATTCCCACCTTGCTGAGAGTTTTTATCAAAAATGGGTGTTGGATTTTGTCAAATGCTTTTTCTGCATCAATTGATATGACTATGTGGTTTTTATCTCTCAATTTGTTTATGTGATGTATCACGTTTATTGATTTGCGGATATTGTACCATCCTTGCATCCCTGGGATAAATCCTACTTGGTCATGGTGTATGATCTTTCTGATGTACTGCTGGATCCGATTTGCTAAGATTTTGTTGAGGATTTTGGCGTCTATGTTCATGAGGGATATTGGCCTGTAATTCTCTTTCATTATGTTGTCTTTATCTGGTTTTGGTATTAGGGTGATGCTGGCTTCATAGAATGAGCTTGGAAGTGTCCCTTCCTCTTGAATTTTTGTAGTAGTCTGAGGAGGATAGGTTTTAGTTCTTCCTTGAATGTTTGGTAAAACTCCCCTGTGAAGCCGTCTGGTCCTGGGTTTTTGTTTGCTGGAAGCTTTTTGATGACTGCTTCAATTTCTTCCATAGTTATTGGCCTATTGAGATTTTTAGATTCTTCCTGATTGAGTTTTGGAAGGTTGTATTTTTCTACGAATATGTCTATATCCTCCAGGTTGTCTAATTTGTTGGAGTAAAGTTGTTCATAGTATTTTTTTAATATATTTTATTGATTTTTTACAGAGAGGAAAGGAGAGGGATAGAGAGTTAGAAACATCAATGATAGAGAAACATTGATCAGCTGCCTCCTGCACACCCCGCACTGGAGATGTGCCCGCAACCACGGTACATGCCCCTGACCGGAATCGAACCCGGGACCCGTAATTCTCAGCCCGATGTACCAT